CCCGTCGCTTGTGTGAAAATCGATTTTTCTCCACTTCAATTTCAACATGGTTGTTCTTCGCTCGATACAGCTGTCCAGCCTGTCCTCCTCATCCCAGCACCACAGGGAAACTCAAATAATTCAGGCACCCTTGACACAAAACTTGTGTGCAGAATAGAAATGTACAGTAAACTCCGAAAGAGCTGTTTCATATTGTCATCATAATTATGTGCATCAATATTTCCTACATTCGAACCGTGGGAAATAGCGCGGGTTCTCCCGACCAGCTCCGAATTCGTACAACCTAAGGCGGCTACATGACCCCCGCGGAGTAATGTGTAGGCTTGGTTTGGCCCGGAAATCAGGGCTTGGACTTGTTGAAACTAAAGCCAGAGCCGAAGCCACAAGCTTGCGAAGCCACTAGTTTCGTCAAGACATTTTCCCATGGTTCGTAAACACAGAAAAATGTCAATTGGCAGAATGGGCAGGGAGGGAAGCGACAATGTATGCCACATTTCTCCCACTTCCTCTTATCAATCACCAGCGGCTCCGAGATCCCTTGAATTTTACGTGTGAAGGATGGTTCCAGCCCCTGGGAGAGGGGGACAAGTTTATTGACTTGCCGCAAATTAATTATTTTCTTACTATACACCCTAAGGTCTGCCAATCACAAAGAGGAGTCTATTTCTTTGCTGTGATCACCTTGTGCGGGGAGAAAAATTCCAGCAAGCCATGTCTTGGAGGCCTGGCTTGCCAGTGGGCCTGAGATTATGAAGCCAGAAGCCTAGGCCTGCCCAACAGCATTTTGGCTTGGCTTGGCTGGTGAAGCCCTGGCTTGGTACCATGGCCTTCTGGCTTCAAGCCCAAACCTGCTGCACATCACTACCCCCGCGGTTAATAACAGACTTCAACAAGCAAGGTACGAGCATCGTCGTTCAAGTGTCCGAGTCTGGCTGCAAAAGACTGGACACTGTCATAAGCTGTCAGGTTGATACCTGACCTGACCCAAACATCATGAACTGTTGAAAGCACCCTTGAAAGGACTACAGTGTTTAACCGTGAAGCGAAATTAACGGGGAAGCGAAATATTCGCTGTTCCGCGCCTTCGGGGCGATTTACGTACTCCAGTTTTTGGTACATGATACACATAGATGAGAAACCCCCGGTTGCAAAAGGATTCGTCCATAGAACGTTCTGGGAGCCCAAAAGATCCAATTCTCTGCTTCTATGCTTATTTGCCGGATTTGGAAAAAGTTGGGCACCAGGCTCAGTCCCGGACCTATGAATATTCATAATTCTGCACACTTGGGGGTTTTCGGAGTCGCCGAATACGAATATCGACATCCCAGAAGTCCTAGGCCGTTTGCTGCGCGACAATGGGGCACGTTTCGCTTCTACGTGATGTGACCAATCTGGCGGTCTCGAAAGATGGCTACCGTTCTCGACTAGAACAACAGATATCCACCTAGGGATTTGTATGACGGGGTGGCCAGGATATCCTACTGTAGATTTATAAAAAAATCTGCCATGGATTTCCACATGATTGCCTCTGAAACGGCGAAATCACTTGAGCGTTTCGCTTCCCCGTTAAAGACTGTACTGTACTATTTCGACCAAATGTTCAGTAACAGGTGACACTCAACTTTATATGATGTTTCAAAAAAAGAAAAATCAATGAACATTTGGTCGAAATAGTTCAAAAACAGAACATAATTATAGTTTTCGCCCTTGTTCTCCAAGAATGCTGCCAAAAATGTGACCTTGTCTCATCAATTTGAGAGTCATTTATGCTGATTGATTCGCAGCAAGTATTCTCTAAAGGCACCCGCTTGGGCATCCACACAAGGGACTGGAGCCGACCGAGGAACAATGTCGGGCGAGAGTCTTGAGTACAAATTGGTGTGGGCCGAGGGTTCGCTACACATTTTCTTTGCTTGTTTCGACAAAAATCATTGCTCGGGCAATCAGTACACTCGGCATCATCAACAAGTGAATTGAAAATTCAGTCCCCAGTTGCCTTTCTCTCCTTTTGAAGATATGGTTCTTATGCCCTGAGTAAATATCTGCACATCATGCTCCAGGAGGATACTACCCTTATGTTTTCAGTTCATAGCCGCAATGCCGCATCTGCCGAAACTCACCCGCCCTTGCCAAACAAAAGAAGGCTACCGGGATTTATTAGCGTAATCGGCCGTGCTAATCCTCGTATCCTGAGTACAGCCAATTCTGAGTTCTGTTTTTGCCCCGCCGCTTGCCGGCCTCTACCAATCATACAGTACTAGCTGACCTGTCACATGACCGCCGCATCAGGCCCTGCTGTCACAATGTCACACTGTTTGTCGAAGCATCTTTGCTCCACACCCTGCCAGCTGGGTAAGCAGCACAGGCAGCTGCAGATACCAAATATCTCTACTCCTCAATGAAGTATCTCCCCTGATCTCACATGGCTCTGACAAAGCAACTGCTTGCACGACCGAGATCAACAATCACCATCTCCCCAGAGAGTGTGGTGGATTTATCAAAATCTGTCCTGCTCCTTCTAGAATGTGATACCTTGGTGTCATCCAAACACGAGAAACTGGAAGGAACAAAAACTGTGCCATTACCTTGTGGCCAAACATTAAATTGTTGGACAGCCTTTTATAGGGTGAGCACTGTCATCCTAGATCTCGAGACTGCTGCAGTCGACTATTTCGCAATTTCTCTCTCTCTCTTGCTGTTGTACCTGGAGGATTGCTGATGTCTTTGGTTTGAATCTGTAGCATCAACTCAAGCATTGCGCGACTCACAAAGTAAGGTTTGACTTGCACAAAGGAAGATAAGATATTGATAATTTAATAGAGTCCCAAAGGTGGACGGGAGTATGTTTGCCGACTCAACAAATGCAATGCAAAATTGCATCTGTCATCATTAGCGGCGCTCAAGTTGCACATTGAACTTGTTCACCTGAAGCACCTTTCCTTCCCATGCCCCTTCACTCGGTGCAGGGATGTAGGCTTTCTGGGGTCTGGGAACGAACCAATCCTCCTCACTTTCTCCCGAACACAGCAGCTTGTCCAACATCTCGAGACTCAGCATGGAGATCTTGTTGGGCAGGCGGTTGATGTTTACTCGGATATCCTGCTTCACCGATGGGAGCCCTTTTCACCCATCAGATCTCTCCCCAAGCCCCCACCACTTCCCCTCTCAAATGACATCCACCTGGGGGGCCTTTTTGTGGAGGCAATCATTATCCGACCGACACTTCATCTTGCACAGCTTATTTCGGGTGAAAGCCCTTTGCTGCATATTCAGCATCTCCCCACAACACCACATCACAGAATGCTACGACACTCCACTCTTATAGCTCGTAGACCACCCTCCCCAAGTCATGACAGTAATGTCAGCGGCAGCCCCGAGTACGAGTTTGCAAATCTTCCAGATATAGAATACCGGCGAGAGGACAATACCATCACCCCACCTGGCATTCTCCGACCTCCTTGGTTTGCTCTGCAGCCCATTCACAATGGCTTGCCGCAGAGAGATCTGGTCCGCCCATCACATATGCGAAGACATCGGACAACAGACATTCCACCACCACCCAGCATTTCTTTTGACGTGCTCAAGAAACGGGTGTTTGGAGAAATGGCGCCCTCAGGGTTGTGATGCTATGAATTCCAACATGGGGGTAGAGCAGCACATGTACGTTGATACAGCACCCATATGTTCCTTATAGGGACCACCACACCGTTAATGCACTTCCGTCTCCTCCAACAAACCCTGGGAAATCTCTTTAGTTACGCGTGCATCACTCTCTTAACATGGTTGGAAGCGGTGAAACAGGATGAACTGGATCCTGACCACCATATGAGATATAACCGCTAGCAGCCAACTGACTTTAGGGCAATTGATGGAGGGTTTGAGCTTTTATCGAGGATTCTCAGCCTCCTGCTGCGAACAAATTTGATGTTGGCGCTATATATAAGCTCAAAAAGCAATTAGATTGTAGGGAGGTGACACGAGGTAGCCTAGGAAATGATTTTGAACATAAATAGATAGGTAGGTAGGATTACGCAGCACAGAGGAGGAGGATGTATTACCGCAGAGAGCAAGCCCAAGCACTCCTCGACATGGGTGCACGAGGTCGCCTGCCATGTCCGCGCACACCGTGATGCCATCCCGCCCTTCCTGTCCCACGACGAAGCCCTTGCCCGCTTTGGCAAATCCATCCGGGTGGTCCCAATAGGAACAACCAGGCATTACACCAACATACACTCGTCCTAATGTATGCTATGATCGTCAACGGTGAGCCAGGAATTATCCCGGTGTACATCAGTGAGATAGACTATACTTATAGCTACACCATCTTCCCGAAGAACTCTCCATTTCCCAGCAGTGAGCTCACAGTCGCAGCAGAAAATGTCCAAAACTCCCCGGGGTAGAACAAGAATATGGAAAAGATCAGTTCGGGTATTTAGTTAGTAGCTTCAAGCCAATGCATGAAGCCCAAGAACAGTGTACAATAAACAATTTGCAATCACTGAATAGTTGAATTCGGGTGGTTGGTGATGGCTTCGAGAGTCCGAGTCCCCGCATTTTCCATGAAAATTCAACTTAGGTTCCCACGGTTCAAACTTGTACATCGTGGTGAAAACGATGCAGACGAACGGCAGTAACACTAGCTAAACTGCTCTCGAATCCAAATCAAAGTTGAGGATGTCCCTTCGTTATCTCAGGATAAGACTCAGGATAATATATCAGCTTGGCGCGGTCCCATTTCGGTTCTCTCCAATATCTACCGGCACGAGTCCGTTCTCGTCTCATCTCTGCTTTTCAACGGGAACGGTCCTCAATATTACTCAAATGTCCATCACAATCTGAAGGCACCGGCTCAACAGTGCAAGTGATTGCTGAATCCCCGGAAGCAGCTGAGGACGAAGCCCCGTTCGCCGGGGTGGGGAATTTTATCCTCGAATTTCCCTTTCTTGTTCAAGAGGCTCTAGATCTATTGAAAGAGTTCCAGTTGGGAGAGCAACTAATAACACTCGATAGCACATGGTGTGCGTCTGCCAATTGTTGTGGTTTTCAAGAACGCTTAAGCAGGAGGTCCGTGTTCGATTCGCGGTCGGGTGATGTGGAGACGATGCTGAACTTTTTTCTTTCCATAAATTATAGTCCAAGAACACATCCATTGCAACTCAAAATAATACAATGCTCTTCTCGTACAATAAAAAAAGAAAAACATAATCATAGTGTGTAGGTAGGATAGGATAGGATAGATAGATAGTATGTAGTGTGTATGTGCGCGAGGCAAATGTACAATATATCGTGGGTAAGGAGGGCAGGAGGCTCATACGCCCCCTCCGCGCCTCACTTCCTTCCGCGCCCTTAACCGCGCCAAGCTCTTCGCCCTCGCACGCATCCACGCGTCCTCCCCATCCCCAGGGGCGCCTCCATACCCATCCCCCTCGTACCCCTCCCCATACACATTCCCATAATCGTCGTACTCCTCCTCGGGGTCCGTCTCCGCCCCACCATGCCCGTGCGTCGCCCTCGAGCGGATACTAGGATACCCAGCGTGCGTCGCATACTTCCTCGCGCCCGCACGCGCAAGCGGCGTTCCACCACCAACATACCCCTGCTCCGACCTTGCGCGCCCATGCGGCGGATGATGCCCCGTCTCCGCACCGCACTCCGACACCTCCCCATCCCCATCCCCCTCCACGCCGACGCCCAACTCCCCCACATCCCTATACGTCCGCGAATACGCCACCGACCTCCGCTTCGGGAACGCAAACCGAATATCCTCCTCGTCGCTCCCGCTCCGCTCGTCGTCCCCATCCGCTTCCTCCGAGGGATCCGTATACACCTCCGCGGCATCGTAGATGTGCTTCCCGACTTTGTACGTGTAGGACGGATACGGATGCGGCGGGTACGACACCTCGGACTCGGACACAGGCTCAGACGACGAAGACGCCGTAGTCGTCTCCGAGCCCGTACGGCGCACAGGCGAGACGAACGAGATGTTCACCGAGCACGAGGAGCTCGAGCCCGAGTTCGATCCGGACGGTATCTTCGCCACCTGCTCCTGCTCTTCGCAATCCGACGCATCGACAAGCGAGCCGGTCGACCCCGCACGAGCGAGCGCCCACGGCCTCGACGAAGACGCCGACAACGTCGCCTTCATCGCCGGCTCCCGCACCCTGCCTTGCCGTGCATGAGCATCCAAATCGTGCTCGTGCTTCTCGCCGTCCGCCCCCCGCTCCCCAAGCGCCTCCCAAATAACCCCCACATGGGCCCACCCATGATGCTCCCCGCCAATCCGCCGCCCACTCGGCGCAGGCGGCGTCGACGCCGAGCGCGGCATCTGCGCCCGTTCGCGCGTGGCGGTGGTGTTGTCCTTCGGCTTCGTCGCGGTGGTATCATCCTTGGGCTTGTCGACATCGGCGGCGTCGACCTTGGGCGTCTGCGCCCTACCCCCCCTCGGCCCCGCAAACCGCGTAAACACATTCCCGCCCCGCGAAAACATCCCCGCAGTAGCCGGCGTCGACGCCGACCTCGGCACCAGCGGGCGCCCGCCGTCCGTGTGCGCACGCTCGTGCTGGTGCTTGAACGCGGCGGAGGCAGAACTCGACGCGTCAAGGTGTAAACTCGACGCCGCGCGCGGAATCCCCGGCCCAGTCTCGCGCCGACGGCCCGCCGCCTTGGACAGCGAAACGCTCGACTTTGAGCGCCCGAGACGACTTGTGGTTGGCGGTGGGGGTGAGGGGGACGGCTCGGGGAGGTGAACACCAGCGGCGGCAAAGACGCGCGCGACGGAGGCGTGTCCGCGCGGGGTTTGCATGCGGTGGGCGTAGGTGCAGCGGAGGGTCGGAGCGGTGGTGGAGGTGGTGGAGCTGGGATTGGGCCTGAAAGAAGAGAAACAAGGTTAGCGTTTGTGAAGAGGAGGTAAACCAAACGCCAAAACCCAAAAGCAAAGACAAAAGTGAAAGCGAAAAAATAAGATCAGAGTGCGAAACGAGGCAACGCCGTCCGTACCCCAAAAAGGCACCCGGTCAAGGGCGAAAATGAAGGAAATATAGTGGGAGTGAGTGAAAGGCGAAAGAGAGGAATCACAACAAGAAAACGAAGCACAAAAAAACCCACTCACCCCCACTCAAAAACAAACTCCCCCCCAAGCAACCTAATATCCCCACCCCGCTCCCACACCGGCATCCCCGCCCTTAACGCGCGCAACAGCACCGCGCCCACGCCCCCGAGCGCAGAGTGCGTGATGTACGAGCCGGGCGCGGCGTGTGGGTCTTCCGCTGCGTCAGCGGCTGCTCCCGCGCTACTTGAATCGGCGCCGCGTGAAGACTGGACGTGCGCGGAGTGTGTAGCGGTCGGTAAAGTAGGTGAAAGCGGAGCCGCATCGAAGGCCGGTATCGGCGCGCGCCCCGCCCCCCCACTCGCCGCCCTCGCAAACCCACTACTAAACGCCTGTCCTCTCCGTGCCGGACTCGTGGTGGTGGGCGCAGCGAACGCAGCCGGCGGCAAACTCACGCTCCGTCCCATCCCCATCCCGATCCCCATCCCCGCTCCTACCCCTTTGCCTTTCCCGCCTTTAATGCCGCCCTTCTGATTCACCTTCCCACCCGCACCCTTGGACGAATTCGAAACGGGCGTAGGCGGGATCGGCAACGGCACCCCCGGCACAAAGCCCACGCTCTCCATCGCCTCCGTGCCCCCCCTCACCTCCCTAGCGTCCCTTTCTTCACGTGCAAACGCAGGGGCGATCGGCGACCCGCTGGCGGACGCGAGGAACGTCGGCACCGTCGGCGACACAACGGGCGACGCACTCGGCGAAAGCAAGCCAGCCCACCCCATCCCCAGCGCGGCGTACACCCCCTCCTGCGGACGCGGGTCGACGAAGAGCCGGATGGAGGCGATCCCGCGCGGTTTTCGTTTGGGGGTAGCGCCAGCGTGCGAGTGCCCGTTCTGCTCAGTCGGCGGGTGGTGGTTCGCGGAAGTCGAACCTGGTGACTCGGTCGACGCGAGGGGGCTGAGGGAAGGAAACCCAAACGACGCCAAATAGCGCTCCGCGAGGGTATGCGCGCCGGGGGCGACGAGGAGGAGGTGTGTGCCTTCTTCTTCTTTATCTGCATCTCCCGCATCCGCATCCGCCTCACTTTGCGAAAACGCTGGGGAGGATGCGGTGGAGACCGGGTAGGTGGAAGCCTCCTACAGAAAGTCGTCAGCCTCGCAACAATAACTCAAACGAAATAATAGACGTACATGCTCGGGCCGTTCGCGTTCCCCTTCTACACCCGAAGCCACCAACCCCTCCAAATACGCCATCTCCTCTTCCCCGCCCCCGCCCTCGCCCCCGCCTCCAGCGCACACCGCACACCTCTTTCCCTCCTCCTCGGCGTCGACAACACCCCTCACCCCCCGCCCCAGCGCAACCATATAGTCCTGACACAGCGGACACCAAAAGTGCCGCAGGAAGATGACGAGCGTGCGGCGCGTCTTGGTGGTGGGCGAGGGAGGGGGAGAGGGCGGCGGCAGCAGCTCGATGAACCTGCTCGCGCGTTTGGGCTTCACCTCGCCCTCTGCTGGTTCCACCACCTCCTGCTCCGTGTGAAGCGCCGACTCGGGCTCATTCTGCTCCACGTCCTCTCCATCTCGCTTCCCCACCACCTCCCCACCAAAAAACGAAGACGCAACCGGAACCCCCAAAACATCCCCAAACCTAACCCGCACCCCACTCGGCGCAACGAGCGGCAGCGCGAGCGCGCGGCGCAGCGCGGCGGGGGTGGGGGGCTGCAGGGCGGGGAGGGGGGGTGGTTTCTTCGGATTCGTGTTCTTTCCTTCCGTTTCGAGTTTGATTTCGAGTTTCGGGGAGGTGCGGTTGGGGTTGCGCGGCGGGGAGGTGGGATTGGCATTGTGAGGGAAGGAGGGCGAGAGAGGCGAAGACGCGTCGGCGAACGTAATACTCGTGGGGGAGGGCAGGACGCGCGGGGAGGTGATGTTCACCACCGCCGACTTTGTTGCAGACGCGGGGGAGAGTGGGGAGGTAGGCGACAGAGGCGAGAGGGGCGGGGACGTGAACATGGTCTCGCCTGATGCGCGCGAGGAGCTGGAGCCCGAGCTGTCCGAGGAGCGGGAGGCGGTGCTTGAGGTTGGGGAGACAAGTGGGAGCGCGTGGAGCCTAGTAGGACGGGACGGGCTCAGACTTTGCACAAAGGAAAGAAAGAGAAAAGTACCCACCCATGCGCAGCGTCAACGAGCTTGAGCGGCGGCGGCACCAAAGTAGCACTCGAAGTAGACCCAAGAGGCAAATCACGCAACGCGACGGGCCTCTGCGCGCGCGCAAAGGCAGCGAGCTCGGGCGGGACCATGCCCGCGGGCATCTGGGCGACGGGCGTGGGGATGGAGATGGTGTGTTTGCGGATGCCGGGCGCGTCGTCCTTGTCCTTGTTACCGTCCTTGTCCTTGGAACCCTTAGCTGTACTGGGCGAGGTGGAGAAGGAATGCGAATGCGAGTGGGGAAGCAGCAGACGCGCGAGGCGGGTCCGCGGAGCGTGCGCGGGAGCAGGCGGCACCTGCGTCGTCGCCATCGACTGCGACTTTGGTATCGCTATCGGCGGGGGCGCGGACGCCGCCAGTGAGTTGGCAGACGACTGGGCGCGACGACGCGTCGTGTAGTGGGGACTGTGAGCATGGCCGGTGGATGAGGACGTGGGCGAGACGGGGGTAGTGGGCAGGGGGTCTGGGTAGAGGGCGAAGGAGTGTCTCTTGTCGTTGAGGGTGGGGGTGGTGCTGGCGGCGAAACTGAGCACGCTGAGCGCATCGTCGTCGAGCTTCGGCGCGGGCTTGCGTCGTACGCGGGTCGCCATTTTGCCTTGCCTTGAGCGTTGGATTGCGGGCGGGTTAAAGATCGCGGAAAGGTAGCGGGCGGAGAAAAGGGTTTCGCGCGGATAAAGTGGATACAGATTCAAGGGTCGCGATTAAAAGGGGTTTTTTTTGCACGCTTCCAGTTCGTGGCTTCCCTCGCTTCCACACGTGTATTAGGCCTTGCCCATCCTCGCTTTATCCTTCTCTGTTAAGCGCATTTCCTCACCCAATTAACCCCGTCTCCCGTGTCTGTGTCTTTCCAGGTATTTTGCGGCCGCGGGTAGCCATCGAATTGTGGTCGAGAAAAGGCAAGATTGGTCGGCGACTAAATATTCGCCGGCCTCCTCTCTTTCCTCAACCACGACGACCAACTCCACTCTGGCCTCCCCGGCGACAGCTGCCCCCAACTCCTTGATGCGCTAGCGTCGACCGGCTTGCTCGTCTCCGCTGCCCGCTTCCCCCTTCCTCGGACTCTCGAATTGGTGTTCCCAATCCTGGAGTGACGCCACCACCAATCCAATTAATCTGACGCTCATTTACGATGCCTGCCTCAGCCGGACCGCCTTCGGAGGATCCCTTATAATGCACCATTTATCATCGCTCACTCGAGATAATGTCTCTCATGACCGCCTCTCCCTAACAACCTCTGCGGTCCCGGTGCCTATCATCTAGTTACTTATTTAATTCAAGCCTACTATTCCAAGGCTGCGTCCTTTATCTGACTTCTGTCTTCCACCACCACCGTCTCCATGCCAAACCACTGCCCCAAGCCTCAAGGCCTGAAGGACTCTCACAGCCGACACCTCTCCACTTGCCGAACAATACATACCAATCTCTCGAGTTCTCGGTAGACCCTGCACGCATTGCGTTAATTGGGCGCTCTCGTGGACTTGCTCATAGTATATGCAATGTATATGCAGTCCCGGCTGCGGTGCCTGCGTCGTCATCATTCATTCAGTTAATGCAAGCCCGTCTTCTATCTCCCACCGTCTCTATATCCTGAAGGCCTAAGCCTCGAGGTCTCTCACACTCGACCCCGGCAAGAATGGCCCTGCACGGCTTCTTAAATTTAATTTGGCGCTCTTCCAAAGAATAAACTCACCCTGTAATTCTTCAGCAAAGAGTATATTCCTGTCGGACTCCCGCTATTCCCATCGCTCGTACCCCGTAGTCACATAACAAACCTCCTCCTCCTCTCCGTGCACCCCACCCCACCAATCCAAACCTCCCTCTCCTTACATACACATGTACTCCGCGAAGAAGAAAAAAAACATCATAACCCCGGCACATCACCCGACCCGGAATCGAACCGAGAGCCTCCTGCATAAACTCATAGGAACGGAAAAGTGAAGCAGGTGCACACCATGTGCTATGGAGTGTCTGCTACATAGCTCCTAAGATTGTTTATGTGCGGTATCTTTTGAGTGAGTACAACACCAAGGCGGAGGAGGTCAACTTGAAGCCAAACTCAAGGAATAGCTAGAATAATCAATGTCAATGTCGATTTATTTACATACATACTCTCCTCCTCCTCGAAATTTGAATCCAACCCACGTGAGTCGATACGAAGGGTGAACAAAAGGCAAAAAAAGCTTTGGAGAACCGGTTATCACCCGACCCGGAATCGAACCGAGGCGTCCTGCATAACCATCTGTCTACGAACCAGTTCAAGCAGGCACACACCATGTGCTATTGAGTGTCCGCTATGTAGCTCCTAAGGCTGTTTATGTGCGGTATTTTTGAGCGAGTCCAAGGCTAAGGGAAAGGAAATCAACTCAACTCAGCTCAACTCAACTCCAGTGAAGTGACTAACCAATGAATCTGTGTTCCTCTCGCAAAATTCAGTCCAACCCCATCCATTGTGAGAGACCTGAATGAAAAGAAGTGTTGAACGGAAAGGGGATGAAAAAGTTCTCATCAAGGCGACAGCATCACTCGACCCGGAATCGAACCGAGACCTCCTGCACCTACCGTGATGGATCAATCAGGTGAAGCAGGTGCACACCATGTGCTACCGAGTGTCCTCAGTATGGCTCCTGAGGTTGTTTGTGTGCGGTATTTTTGAGCAAGCCCAAGCCTAGGGGGAAGGTGTGAAAAGGGAACAACTCAACTCAAGTAAAATAAAATAAAATAACTAACCAATGAATCTATGTTCCTCTCTCAAACTTGAGTCCAATCTCATGCCTTTGTGAGAGACTCGCGTTGAAAAGAAGTGTGGAATAGGAAATAGAAAATAAAAAATTATTTCAGGAAGCGCTATCACCCGACCCGGAATCGAAACGAGACCTCCTGCATAGACCATAATAGATTCCCAACCAAGTGAAGCAGGCACACACCATGTGCTATTGGGTGTCTACACCTTAGTTCCTAAGGTTGTTTATGCGCAGTATTTTTAAGCTAGTCCAACACCAAGGTGGAAAAGGTAAATCAATTCAACTCAAGTAAAATCAACAGAATCTGCTGAGCCTCTCTGCTCGACCTTTAACTGAACCCATGTGAGTCGATATTAAGGGTGAACAAAAGGCCGAAAAAAGAGTCAACTGCTGCATTATCACCCGACCCGGGATCGAACCGAGACCTCCTGCATAACCACGGTGGGGAACCACATTCAGGCCAAGCAGGTGCACAGCATGTGCTATTGAGTGTCTACAAGCCGGTATCCAAGCTAGGGTATATGTACCATTTCTGGCGAGTCCAATGCCGAGGCGGAAAAGGAAATCAACTTGCCCTCAAAATGAAATCAATAGAATCTGCTGAGCCTCTGCTCGACTTTCAGCTGAACCCATGTGAGTCGATACTAAGGGTGAACAAAAGGCAAAAAAAAAAGGTTGCTATGGGGTATCCTCATCACCCGACCCGGAATCGAACCGAGACTTCCTGCATAACCATTGCCTATCGACCAAATTCAAGCAGGTGCACACCATGTGCTATCGAGTGTCTACACCTTAGCTTCTGAGGTTGTTTATGTGCAGTATTTTTGAGTGAATACAAGGCTAAGGGGAAGGCAGGGAAAGGAAAATCAACTCAACTCAAGTAGAATAAAATGATGAACCGGTGAACCTGTGTTCCTCTCTCAAACTTGAGTCCAACCCCATCCATTGTGAGAGACCTGAGTGAAGAGGAAGTGTGGAAAGGGAATGAAAAAAAATCCGCCTTTGAATTTTATCACCCGACCCGGAATCGAACCGAGACCTCCTGCTCAAGTGTTTTGGCATGGTCTGTGAAGTGAAGCAGGTGCACACCATGTGCTACCGAGTGTCTAAAAGTTAGCTTTCAAACTAGGGTATCTGCACATTTATGAGCAAGTCCAATGCCAAGGCAGAAAAGGGAACCAACAAGTTGAACTCGAGAATAATGAATGTCAATTTCTTTACATGCATACTCTCCTCCTCCTCCTGGAACTTGAGCCCTTGTAAGTCAATGCTACTCGAGGGAACCACATGAAAGACGAACAAAAGGCAAAGAGAGAAAAAACCAAAAAGCAATGCTTGGAGCTTCTTTATCACCTGACTCGGAATCGAACCAAGACCTCCTGCATAACCACAGTGGGGAAGTGATCCAAGTGAAGCAGGTGCACACCATGTGCTACCGAGTGTCTGCTATTTAGCTCCTAAGGTTGTTTACGTGCAGTATTTTTGAGCGAGTCCAAGGCTAAGCTGGAAAGGGAATCAACTCAACTCAAGTAAAATAAAATAAAATAACTAACCGATGAATCTATGTTGCTCTCTCAAACTTGAGTCCAATCTCATGCCTTTGTGAGAGACTCGCGTTGAAAAGAAGTGTGGAACGGGAGACAGAAAATAAAAAAATATTTCAGGAAGCGCTATCACCCGACCCGGAATCGAACCGAGGCCTCCTGCATTACCGTGATGGATCAATCAGGTGAAGCAGGTGCACACCATGTGCTATCAAGTGTCTACACCTTAGCTTCTGAGGTTGTTTATGTGCAGTATTTTTGAGCGAGTTCAAGGCTAAGGGAAAGGAAATCAACTCAACTCAACTCCAGTGAAATAGCTAACCAATGAACCTGTCTTCCTCTCTCCTACTTCAGTTCAACCTCATCCCTTTGCAAGAGACCTGAGTGAAGAGGAAGTGTGGAGAGGAAAATAACCCGACCCGACAACATCACGAGGAAGTGTGGAAAGGGAATGAAAAAAATTCCCCATTCGAGTTCAATCGCCCGACCCGGAATCGAACCAGGACCTCCTGCATAACCGTTACTGATCAACCAAGCGAAGCAGGCACACACCATATGCCACCGAGTGTCTGCTATGTAGCTCCTAAGGTTGTTTATGTGTGGTATTCCTTAGCAAAGACCAACACTGAGAGGAGGGCATGAAAGTGAAAAGGAAAATCAACTTGCCCTGAAAAAAAAATCAATAGAGTCCGCTGGGCCTCTCTGCTTGACCTTCAGCCGAACCAATGTGAGTTGATAACAAGGGTGAACAAAAGGCAAAGAACACTCATCAAAGGTCTTCTCATCCGACCCGGAATCGAACCAAGAAACCTCCTGCATAAGCCTAAATTGAGATTGTCTAAATGAAGCAGGTGCACACCATGTACTATCAAGTGTCTACACCTTAGCTTCTGAGGTTGTTTATATGCGGTATTTCTGAGCAGATTCAGGACTGAGAGGAAGGCATGAAAGTGAAAAGGCAATCAACTCAACTCAAGTGAAATAAAATAACTAACTCGTAAATCTCTCTTTCCTCTCCTCTTCTTCGATCTAACCTCATCCTCTGGTGAGTGAGTGCGACATCACAAGGAAACCTGGAACAGGAAATAAAAAAGGCTCACAATGCAGACACTACTATCACCCGACCCGGAATCAAACCGAGAGCCTCCTGCATAAACTCGTAGAAACGATAAAGTGAAGCAAGTGCACACCATGTGCTACCGAGTGTCCTCAGTATGGCTCCTGAGTTGTTTATGTGCGGTATATTTGAGTGAGTCCAAGGCTAACTTGAGGAAGGTGTGGAAGAGGAATCATCTATTCCTTTCCTCCTCAAACTCAAATCCAACACAAACCTATGAGTTCTGTGAGCACGACATCGACATCAATATCACAAGGAAGTGTAGAAGGGGAATGAAAAAGTTCTCTACCGCCGTGGAATCATCACCTGACCCAGAATCGAACCAAGACCTCCTGCACAAGCTGGGTTCCTAAATGCCAAAGCCAAGGCAGGTGCACACCATGTGCTATCAAGTGTCTGCTATGTAGCTCCTAAGGTTGTTTGTGTGGTATTTTTGAGCGAGTCCAAGGCTAATTCAGCCTAGTGGAAAAAGAAATCAACTCAACTCAACTCAAATAAATCACGAACCGATGAACCTGAACCTGTGTTCCTCTCGCAAAATTCAGTCCAACCCCATCCATTGTGAGAGACCTGAATGAAAAGAAGTGTTGAACGGAAAGGGAATGAAAAAGTTCTCATCAAGGCGACAGCATCACCCGACCCAGAATCGAACCGAGACCTCCTGCATTACCGTGATGGATCAATCAGGTGAAGCAGGTGCACACCATGTGCTACCAAGTGTCTGCTATATAGCCCCCAAGGTTGTTTACGTGCAGTATTTTTGAGTGAGTCCAAGGCTAAGCTGGAAAGGGAATCAACTCAACTCAAGTAAAATAAAATAATGAACCAATGAACCTACAGTCAAAGCTGTCTTAACCCATAGCCCCTATAACCCATAATCTGTAAAAATCCATACATTTTGGGCATCCACCAAGTGCGTGCCATATTAAAACCCCATAAATCTGTGAAGCTCCATAAGCCATGCTTTTTTGCCGGCAAAAACCCATAGCTTTGATAGAATTTTGGGCTGTTTTGTGCTGAATGTCTGTTCTTTCAGAGGGAATTTGGCCTCAGACCAGACACAAATGCTGACTGAACCAAGATTGAACACCTTACAAGTGATTGCGAGCCATTTCTGAACAATATTCAAGGTTTTCAGTGACTCCAACAACAAATCATTGCATGCAATGTTTGGCACAGGAGCACAGAGGAACCGCAGAAGCCAATTGAGGTCTACTAGGCAAACAAATAATCATTATATGCCTGATAATTGACTACTTCTGAAGGTCCCGACAAAGGTCGGGATTTGCCGAGGTATTTCCCACGATCCTCGAAACCCATATGCTGCGAAAACCTATACGTTTTGGCATCCACCGAGTGGTATGGGTTAAGACAGCTTTGATTGTATGTTCTTCTCTCAAACTTCAGTCCAACGCAAACCTACGAGTTCTGCAACCGGAAAGAAAAGCAAAAAAGAAATTCACCCGACTCTTATCACCCGACCCAGAATTGAACCGAGAGCCTCCTGCATAACCGTGAAAAATTCTGAATAGGTGAAGCAGGTGCACACCATGTGCTACCGAGTGTCTGCTATTTAGCTCCTAAGGTTGTTTAAGTGCAGTATCTTTGAGCGAGTTCCAAGCCCAAGAGGAAGAAGATACTAAATCAACTTTCCCTGGCACAAACAAAAATCTAGTGGTGTCACTTTTTGCTGATGATACAACAATTTATTTGAAATCCACTGACTCAATGGAGATTTTGTGGAACATTCTACGCCTTTGGTGTGCTGCATCAACTGCAAAATTTAATGAACATAAAACGGTACTCCTTCCCTTTGGGAAACCCACCTACCGTTAAAAGGTCCTCAAGGAAAGAAGAATAAATAATAAATCTCCAATTGGTGCAATAAACGAAACTATCTGTATTGTTCAAGATGACGAAAGCTGTCGGATGTTAGGTGCATGGATTGGAAACAACATCTCTTATACTGAACCATGGCCGTCTGTCATGGAAAAAAATGATACGGATATCATGCGTTGGCAAAAAACACACTCGAGTTTAGAAGGGAAATGACACGTCATTAGTATGGTAATCGGGGGCCGTACACAGTACCTGACCAGGGTCCAGGGCATGCCCAAAGATGTTGAAGAGTCGCTGCAGAAATTGATCCATTCATTTTTATGGGATGGAAAGACAGCCAGAGTCTCATTTGAGACAATGATCCTTCCCATTGATCAGGGAGGCAAAGGAATTTTCGATATATCAGCCAGAAATAAAGCAGTTGCTCTTTGGAACCTCCAATGCTATGTCATGCAGGGTGAGAATCGTCCACTGTGGTGCTATTTTGTGGATTACATATTTATAAAATACTTGGAAACCAGCTACCTAAATATCAGGCCTGGTCAAATCATCAACATTTTTTTGAACAATATTCACTTTCCAATTCCAAGATCGAACAAAATCCCTGATGATCTCAAGAGAATGATATCTGTGGCCCAAGAATTCAATCTGAAATTTACAGGACTCTCAGTTGACAATCAGGTGCAGCTTGAAATGCCAATATGGAAACACCCCTCTGTCCACTATCCAGCTTACAAGAATGCCTGCCTTCGGGATGCTGCTACCTGCCTCAGAAATATGCATGGAGTTCGAACTGTCCGTGATGCACTTACAATTGCTACCAGACGTACTACAGTGCTGCGTCGCCCCCATACCATCAACCCTAGCGGCATTTCCCGCAAAAATTGTGGATGCCCACCCTGTAACCGAGACCGAAATGAACTTGGCTGTGAAAATCCTGGAAAGTGTATTGAAACTGCCCAGGTTTTAATTGATTGCATTATGCCTAAATGGAATCCATTGGCTCCGAAGACAGATCTTTGTGATGAGCTCAGACTAACTGAAGAAGAGATGTGTGCAAATGCACAAACCATTGAGATGGACAAACCCATGACCTTTGACCCGAATTTCAGACTGGTCAGTATACAGGATGGTTTCAGGATTCTTGCGGATGAAGATTCATTGAATGAGATTGCCGCCAGGCGGGGGGGACAGTTAGAGCCGCCGCCAGAGCTAATTACTGCTTCCATCCACATAAAGATTATTTGTGCTGGCCAGTTTGAACCGCAAATTGTAGCAAGATTCAGAGTCGTGTCACCTGAAATCCAAGTAAATGAAACGGTGTACCTTACGTTTGATAATCCAACAATCAAGCTTGATTTTAGTTCAGGAATACTAGGAGCAACCCTTATCCTCCTCTAAAAATTACCAAAGAATACCCCATCACTACTGTGCTCTTCCTCCGACTTTTTACTTAAAACCATAGTCAAGGAACGAACAAAATCAGAAAATAACATGTTGGATTCGAATTATTTGCTTTTCAAGGCAGTATTTTCCGCACTCAATGAACGAGTAGGTCGGACACACTTCAAACAGACAACCTGTAATTTCCCTGTCCCCTCAGACACAGGTATTTGCTCTACAATTGAAGTAGATACCCAACGGGATATCATGTTCAATAACTCTGGTATTCTAATCTCACATGGGTCCCAGCGTATCTTTACAAAAATCATCAAAAGCACTTATCCAGTGCCATTCAGAAAATCAACACTCATCAACTTGGACAGAATACGCTATGCTGTGCAAAAGGTCTTTGATTACACCCCAACGGATGAAGTGATTTGGAAATCCATCCGTTCAGTAAATTTAAGACGACTTCACCGTGAACTATTCTGGAAGTCGATCCACAACACCTTCAGAGTTGGTGATTTCTGGTCACACATTGAGAACCTTGAAGTGCTTGCAAAATGCCAAACCTGCGGTGTACCTGAAAGTCTTGAGCACATAGCAACAGAATGCAATGCCTCTGGTGCAACCCTTGTTTGGAAACTAACTCAGAACATTTGGACAACAAAATATGACTGCTGGCCTTCACTGGATTGGGGCCTAATTCTAGGCTGTAACCTCGTCAGATTCAAAAACTCTAAAGGTAGAATTATACCAGAGATGGGAAGGCTATTTACTATTCTTGTATCTACTGCATGGCATACAATATGGAATATCCGGATTGACAAAGTTTTGAAGAATCCGGACCGTAACATCTCAGAGATTGAAATCCATAATAAATGGCTGAAATCTATAAATTCTGCACTCGGACGAGATCGTATCCTCACCAACAAACTAAAGTTTACAGCTATTTGCGGAACATAAGGCGCGGATCATTTTTTTTTTCTAAAAATGGCCACTTTGATCATTTTCACTGCTACCCCTCTAATGCATTCAATTCTGCCTCAAATGCCGTGAATCCTTCACTAGACATCTTCAATGAATATTCCAGAGTGCGCCGTCTGCTCAAATTAGTTCTCTTATTCAGTGATGGCTGAGTAAGCCAGATGATCAAAATTTACCTTGCTACCCCTGCTTCAAAGGAAGGATCTATTGGGGGGTGCTAAATATTTGTCTCTATGTTTATATATGTGTTTCCAAGTGCGCCGGGTACTCTATGTTGCAATTCTGCCACGAGAAACATGTCAACAAGCACATCAATAAATCCATTCATTTGATTGTGGTACCTGTGCCATGGCAGGAAGGTATATTGCCCGAAAGGCTACCCTATGCACTGTATGGGACACTCATACACCCACAGGCAAAAGGCTAGGGCATCCTCACATGAACTCCTCTTTAAGCAGGGTCAGCAGTTGGAAGTCCATGGCATTTGCTTACAAATCCACCAGCGGGAAAGAGAAACTTGAGAACCGGCCTAAGCACTGTAAAATACCCCCAGAGATCGATTGAAAATGGTTCCAGGGCTTCAGGTGAAGAATTGAGCAAGATATCGGGGTAGCAGTGAAAACAACCCTTTTTGATAAAAATTTGATCCGCGCCTTATGTTCCGCAAATAGCTGTAATAATCTTGCACTGAACAAAGATCTTGTCCTACGAACATGGAGTGGTCTACTAATGAATGAAGACTCGCTGCCGGATGACTGGACTTACACAGAGGGGGTTTTAGTGGGTATACAGCCGATGAAATTGAATGATTTAAGAAATGGGATAGGAGAACTTTTAAAGGCTGGAGTCCCACACTATGGTTATTTGTGCGTAATGGCATTTCCTCCTTGGACAACTTCCCCGGCATTAACTAGAACCTTCTAGTAGACCCAGCGGATGACTTTTGGAATGCTTCTGCAGACCTGATTTCATTATCCCAAACGCTCCAAAAAAAAAAAAAAAAAAAAAAACTTTCCCTGGAAATGAAATTAATAAAATCCGGTGAGCCTCTCTGCTCAACCTTCAGCCGAACCCATGTGAGTCGATATTAAGGGTGAACAAAAGGCCAAAAAGAGAGTCAACTGCTGCATTATCACCCGACCCGGGATCGAACCGAGACCTCCTGCATAACCACAGTGGGGAACCACATTCAGGCCAAGCAGGTGCATACCATGTGCTATTGAGTGTCTACAAGCCGGTATCCAAGCTAGGGTATATGTACCATTTCTGGCGAGTCCAATGCCGAGGCGGAAAAGGAATCAACTTGCCCTCGAAATAAAATCAACAGAATCCGCTGAGCCTCTCTGCTCGACCTTCAGCCGAGCCCAGGTGAGTCAATACTAAGGGTGAACAAAAGGCAAAAAAGCGAGTTGCTAGCTAAATATCACCCGACCCGGAATCGAACCGGAGCCTCCTGCATAACTATAGTGAACATCTAGGTCAAGCAGGTGCCACCATGTGCCACGAGTGTCTACATCTTAGCTCCTACGGTTGTTTATGTGCGGTACTTTTGAGCAAGTCCAAGGCTAAGGGGAAGGCATGGAAAGGTAAATCAACTCAACTCAAGTAAAATAAAATAATGAACCGGTGAACCTGTGTTCCTCTCTCAAACTTGAGTCCAACCCCATCCATTGTGAGAGACCTGAGTGAAAAGGAAGTGTGGAAAGGGAATGAAAAGAAATCCGCCCTTGAATTCTATCACCCGACCCGGAATCGAACCGAGACCTCCTGTTTAAGTGTTTTGGGATGGTCTGTGAAGTGAAGCAGGTGCACACCATGTGCTACCGAGTGTCTACAAGTTAGCTTTCAAACTAGGGTATCTGCACATTTATGAGCGAGTCCAATGCCAAGGCAGAAAAGGGAATCAACAAGCTGAACTCGAGAATAATGAATGTCAATTTCTTTACATGCATACTCTCCTCCTCCTCCTGGAACTTGAGCCCTTGTAAGTCAATGCTACTCGAGGGAACCACATGAAAGACGAACAAAAGGCAAAGAGAGAAAAAACCAAAAAGCAATGCTTGGAGCTTCTTTATCGCCTGACTCGGAATCGAACCAGGACCTCCTGCATAACCGTTACTGATCAACCAAGCAAAGCAGGCACACACCATATGCCACCGAGTGTCTGCATTATAGCTCCTAAGGTTGTTTATATGCAATATTCTGAGCAAATACCAACACTGAGAGGAGGGCATGAAAGTGGAAAGGAAAATCAACTTGCCCTCAAAATAAAATCAACAGAATCCATTGAGCCTCTCTGCTCCACCTTCAGCCGAACCCATGTGAGTCGATACTAAGGGTGAACAAAGGCAAAAAAAAACAGGTCCAGAAGCATGCATCACTCGACCCAGAATCGAACCGAGAGCCTCCTGCATAACCATGACAATTCCCAACCAAGTGAAGCAGGTGCACACCATATGCTATCGAGTGTCTGCTAGGCTAACTTGAGGAAGGCATAGACAGAAATCAACAAGCCAAACTTAAGGAATAATCTACACCGTCTTTGTATCCTGAAGGCCTGAAGCCTCGATCTCACACTCGACATCCACAATCCCCGCAAAAATGGCCCTGCACGGTTTTAAATTTACATGTAAGTAATTCGGTGCGCTTCCAAAGCATAAACTTACCCTGCAGCTCTTCAGCAAAGAGTATATTCCTGTCGGAGGCCCGCCATTCCCATTGCTCGTAGGTAGTCCCCGTAATCACATAACAAACCTCCTCCCACTCCCGCCCACCCAACCAATCAATCCCAACCCAGCCCTCTCCCTACATGTGCATGTACTCCAACACGAAAAAAAACCATTTCACCCAACTCTTGGCACATCACCCGACCCGGAATCGAACCGAGAGCGTCTGCTGAAGATCTAGGAAACGACTTGAAGTGAAGCAGGTGCACACCATGTGCTACCGAGTGTCCTCAGTATGGCTCCTGAGGTTGTTTATGTGCAGTATTCTTGAGCGAGTCAGGGTGAAGAAGGGGAGGTGTGAAAGGGGAATCATCTATTCCTCCCCTCCCTGGACTCAAATCCAATGCAAACCTACGAGTTATGCGAGCATGAAATCACAGGAAAGTGTGGAAAGGGAATGAAAAAGTTCTGATCACGGACGACAGCATCGCCCGACCCGGAATCGAACCGAGAGCCTCCTACATAAACTCGTGGAAACGATAAAGTGAAGCAAGTGCACACCATGTGCTATCGAGTGTCCGCTATGTAGCTCCTAAGGCTGTTTATGTGCAGTATTTCTGAGCAAGTCCAACCAAAAGGTAATCAACTCAACTAAATAATGAACTTTTGACTATTCTGCGAACTCAAATCCAACGCAAACAAACCTATGAGTTCTACAAGCACATCGACATCACAAGGAAGTGTGGAAAGGGAATAAAAAAGTTCTCATCAAGGCGACAGCATCACCTGACCCAGAATTGAACCGGGGCCTCCTGCACCTACCGTGATGGATCAATCAGGTGAAGCAGGTGCACACCATGTGCTACCGAGTGTCTGCTATTTAGCTCCTAAGGTTGTTTGTGTGCGGTATTTTTGAGCAATAGGGGGAAGGTGTGAAAAGGGAATCAACTCAACTCAAGTAAAATAAAATAAAATAACCAACTGATGAACCTGTGTTCCTCTCTCAAACGTCAGTCCAATCTCCTTTGTGAGAGACCTGAGTGAAGAGGAAGTGTGGAACGGGAGATAGAAAATAAAAAATTATTTCAGGAAGCGCTATCACCCGACCCGGAATCGAACCGAGACCTCCTGCATAAACCATGACAATTCCCAACCAAGTGAAGCAGGTGCACACCATATGCTATCAAGTGTCTTCTATGTAGCTCCTAAGGTTGTTTATATGCAATATTCTGAGCAAATACCAACACCTAGAGGACGGTGTGAAGGTGAAAAGGAAAATCAACTTGCCCTCAAAATAAGATCAACAGAATCCATTGAGCCTCTCCGCTCAACCTTCAGCCGAACCCATGTGAGTGCGGGAACAAAAGGCAAAAAAACACCCGGTGCAAGCGCAATATCACCCGACCCGGAATGGAACCGAGACCTCCTGCATAAGCCCAGATTACTCATTTAGTTCAAGCAGGTGCACACCATGTGCTATCAAGTGTCCGCTATGTAGCTCCTAAGGCTGTTTATGTGCGGTATTTTTGAGCGAGTTCAAGGCTAAGGGAAAGGAAATCAACTCAACTCAACTCAACTCAACTCAACTCCAGTGAAGTGACTAACCAATGAACCTCTGTTCCTCTCTCAAAATTCAGTCCAACCCCATCCATTGTGAGAGACTTGAGTGAAGAGGAAGCGCAGCAGGAAAAAAAAGACTCCAAGAGGGAATATCACCCGACCCGGAATCAAACCGAAGCCTCCTGCATAGCTATCAACGCTATTTTCCAGGCCGAGCAGGTGCACACCATGTGCTATCGAGTGTCTGCTATGTAGCTCCTAGGTTGTTTATGTGCGGTATTTCTGAGCGAATTCTGCGCCCAAGAGGAAGAAGACATTGTGGAAAGGAAAATCAACTTGCCCTCAAAATGAAATCAACAGAATCCGGTGAGCCTCTCTGCTCAACCTTCAGCCGAACCCATGTGAGTCGATACTAAGCGGGAACAAAAGGCAAAAAAACACTCGTTGCAAGCGCAATATCACCCGACCCGGAATCGAACCGAGACCTCCTGCATAAGCCCAGATTACTCACTTAGTTCAAGCAGGTGCACACCATGTGCTATCAAGTGTCTGCTATGTAGCTGCTAAGGTTGTTTATGTGCAATACTTTTGAGTGAGTCCGAAGAGGAAGGTGTGGACGGGAAATCAACTCAACTCAACTCAACTCCAGTGAAATAACTAACCAATGAACCTATCTTCCTCTCTCAAACTCGAGTCCAACCTCATCCCTTTGCAAGAGACCTAAGTGAAGAGGAAGTGTGGAGAGGAAAATAACCCGACCCGACAACATCACGAGGAAGTGTAGAAAGGGAATGAAAAAAATCCCCCATTCGAGTTCAATCACCCGACCCGGAATCGAACCAGGACCTCCTGCATAACCGTTACTGATCAACCAAGCGAAGCAGGCACACACCATATGCCACCGAGTGTCTGCTATGTAGCTCCTAAGGTTGTTTATGTGCGGTATTCCTTAGCGAAAACCAACACTGAGAGGAGGGCATGAAAGTGAAAAGGAAAATCAACTTGCCCTGAAAAAAAAATCAATAGAGTCCGCTGGGCCTCTCTGCTTGACCTTCAGCCGAACCCATGTGAGTCGATACTAAGGGTGAACAAAGGCAAAAAAAAAAAGGTCCAGAAGCATGCATCACTCGACCCAGAATCGAACCGAGAGCCTCCTGCATAACCATGACAATTCCCAACCAAGTGAAGCAGGTGCACACCATATGCTATCGAGTGTCTGCTAGGCTAACTTGAGGAAGGCATAGACAGAAATCAACAAGCCAAACTTAAGGAATAATCTACACTGTCTTTGTATCCTGAAGGCCTGAAGCCTCGATCTCACACTCGACATCCACAATCCCCGCAAAAACGGCCCTGCACGGCTTTAAATTTACATGTAAGTAATTCGGCGCGCTTCCAAAGAATAAACTTACCCTGCAGCTCTTCAGCAAAGAGTATATTCCTGTCGGAGGCCCGCCATTCCCATTGCTCGTAGGTAGTCCCCGTAATCACATAACAAACCTCCTCCCACTCCCGCCCACCCAACCAATCAATCCCAACCCAACCCTCTCCCTACATGTGCATGTACTCCAACACGAAAAAAAAACCATCACACCCAACTCTTGGCACATCACCCGACCCGGAATCAAACCGGGGCCCTCTGCTTAAGTGGAACCTATCCTCCTACTTAGTTCGAGCAGGTGCACACCATGTGCTACCAAGTGTTCTCAGTATAGCTCCTAAGGTTGTTTATGTGGGGTATCTTTTGAGTGAGTACAACACCAAGGTGGAGGAGGTCAACTTGAAGCCAAACTCAAAGAATAGCTAGAATGATCAATGTCAATGTTGATTTATTTACATACATACTCTCCTCCTCCTCGAAATTTGAATCCAACCCATGTGAGTCGATACTAAGGGTGAACAAAAAGGCCCCCAAAAAAATGGGCCTGGGAACGTCTCATCACCCAACCCGGAATCAAACCGAGAGCCTCCTGCGTAAACCTGGCTTGGTGAAGTTTCAAGTTGGGCAGGTGCACACCATGTGCTATTGAGTGTCCGCTATGTAGCTCCTAAGGCTGTTTATGTGCGGTATTTTTGAGCGAGTCCAACTTGAAGGCGGGTGTTGAAGTGAAAGTGACGACTCAACTCAAAATGAAATCAATATAATCAGCCGAGCCTCTCTGCTCGACCTTCAGCCGCCCCATGCGAGGCGATACCAAGGGTGAACAAAAGGCAAAAAAAAAAAAAGGGTTTGGAGAACCGTGATCACCCGACCCGGAATCGAACCAGGACCTCCTGCATGAATGTGCCATCCATGTTTGACTCTAGGTAAAGCAGGTGCACACCATGTGCTATCGAGTGTCCTCAGTATGGCTCCTACGGTTGTTTATGTGTGGTTTTTTTTTTTTAGCAAGTCCAAGGCTAAGAGGAAGAAGACTCAGTGACATTGTGGAAAGGAAATTAACTTGCCCTCAACTCAAGTAAAATAAAATAATGAACCGATGAACCTGTGTTCCTCTCTTAAAATTCAATCCAACCCCATCCATTGTGAGAGACCTGAGTGAAGAGGAAGTGTGGAAAGGGAATGAAAGAATTCTCGACCGTCGCTATCACCCGACCCGGAATCGAACCGAGGCCTCCTGCACTACCGTGATGGATCAATCAGGTGAAGCAGGCACACACCATGTGCTATCGAGTGTCTCTAACCTAGCTGTTAGCCTCGTCTAAGTGCACTATTTCTAGGTGAGTCCAAGGCTACGGGGAAGGCATGGAAAGGGAATCAACTCAACTCGAGTAAAATAAAATATAAACTAATTGGTGAACCTCTATTCCTGTCCTCCTGAGTCCTTGAGCTCCAACGCATGTGACTGCGGCATCAAAAGGAAGTGTTGAACAGGAACTGAGGAAGGAGAAAAAAAAATTGCAATGCGAGACCCTATCACTTGACCCGGGATCGAACCGAGAGCCTCCTGCATTACCGTGATGGATCAATCAGGTGAAGCAGGTACACACTATGTGCTACCGAGTGTCTACAACTTGGTTTTTAAGCTAGGGTATATGCACTACTTCTGAGCAAATCTCAGGCTAAGGGGAAGGTGGGGAAAGGAAAATCAACTCAACTCAAATAAAATAAAATAAGGAACCAATGAACACCTTTGTTCCTCTCTCATACTTCCACCCAACCTCACCCGTTGTGAGGGACCTGAGTGAGAGACCTGAGTGAAAAGAAATTTGGAAGGGTAACAAAAATCACCACGAGTGTACTGTATGACATGTATCACCCGACCCGGAATTGAACCGAGAGCCTCCTGCATTATACTGCATGTGCTACTACTGTCAAGCAGGTGCACACCATATGCTATTGAGTGTCTGCTATGTAGCTCCTAAGGTTGTTTACGTGCAGTATTTTTTAGGGAGTCCAGGGCTAAGAGGGAGGGGAAGCGTGGAAAGGGAATCAACAAGCCAAGCCCGAGGAATAGCTAATGTCAATTTTTTGGTTACATACTCTCCTCCTGCTTGAAACTTTAATCCCGCCCATGTAAGTCGATACTACTAGATTGAACCACGTGAAAGGCGAACAAAAGGCCAAAAGAAGAAGAAAGAAAATTCCTCGTTGGCTGCAAATTACCACCCTACCCGGAATCGAACTGAGACCTCCTGCACAAACTGAGTTTCTAAATGCCAAAGTCAAGGCAGGTGCACACCATGTGCTATTGAGTGTCTGTTATGTAGCTCCCAAGGTTGTTTATGTGCTGTATTTGAGCGAGTCCAGGCTAAGGTGTACATAATCAACAAGGAAAGAATAATCAATGTCAATTTCTTTACATACATACTCTCCTCCTCCTCCTTGAATCCAACCCATGTGAGTTGATAACAAGGGTGAACAAAAGGCAAAGAACACTCATCAAAGGTCTTATCATCCGACCCGGAATCGAACCAAGACCTCCTGCATAAGCCTAAATTGAGATGGTCTAAATGAAGCAGGTGCACACCATGTACTATCAAGTGTCTACACCTTAGCTTCTGAGGTTGTTTATATGCGGTATTTCTGAGCAGATTCAGGACTGAGAGGAAGGCATGAAAGTGAAAAGGCAATCAACTCAACTCAAGTGAAATAAAATAACTAACTCGTAAATCTCTCTTTCCTCTCCTCTTCTTCGATCTAACCTCATCCTCTGGTGAGTGAGTGCGACATCACAAGGAAACCTGGAACAGGAAATAAAAAAGGCTCACAATGCAGACACTACTATCACCCGACCCGGAATCAAACCGAGAGCCTCCTGCATAAACTCGTAGAAACGATAAAGTGAAGCAAGTGCACACCATGTGCTACCGAGTGTCCTCAGTATGGCTCCTGAGTTGTTTATGTGCGGTATATTTGAGTGAGTCCAAGGCTAACTTGAGGAAGGTGTGAAAGAGGAATCATCTATTCCTTTCCTCCTCAAACTCAAATCCAACACAAACCTATGAGTTCTGTGAGCACGACATCGACATCAATATCACAAGGAAGCGTAGAAGGGGAATGAAAAAGTTCTCTACCGCCGTGGAATCATCACCTGACCCGGAATCAACTCAGACCTCCTGCACAAGCTGGGTTCCTAAATGCCAAAGCCAAGGCAGGTGCACACCATGTGCTATCAAGTGTCTGCTATGTAGCTCCTAAGGTTGTTTGTGTGGTATTTTTGAGTGAGTCCAGGGTGAAGCGGAAGGTGTGAAGGGGAATCAACTCAACTCAAGTAAAATAATATATAAACTAATCGGTGAACCTGTGTCTCTCTCTCAAACTTCAGTCCAACCCCATCCATTGTGAGAGACCTGAGTGAAAAGAAGTGTTGAACGGAAAGGGAATGAAAAGTTCTCATCAAGGCGACAGCATCACCCGACCCAGAATCGAACCGGGACCTCCTGCACTACTACCATTCTGGATCAATCAGGTGAAGCAGGTGCACACCATGTGCTACCGAGTGTCTGCTATATAGCTCTTAAAGTTGGTTATATGCAGTATTTTTGAGCAAGACTCGGAGTCCACGAATAAGGGAACCAACAACTGCCAAACTCGAATGTCAATTTCTTTCCATACATACTCTCCTCCGAGTCCTCCTCAAAATTAAATTGAACCCATGTGAGTCGACACTAAGAGGTGAAAAACACGGTTCTGGAGAATTATCATCACCTAACCCGAACCGGGGCCCTCTGCTTAACTTCTAGGAATGATTTGAAGTAAAACAGATGCACAGCATGTGCTATTGAGTGTCTACCAGCTGGTATCCAAGCTAGAGTATATGCACCATTTCTGTGTGAGTCCAGGGCTAACTCAGCTAGGTGGAAAGGTAAACAACTCAACTCAAATAAATAATGAACTCTCGACTATTCTGCAAACTCAAATCTAACGCAAACCTACTAGAGTTATGCGAGCACGATATCAACATCACGAGGAAGTGTGGAAAGGGAATGAAAAAGTTTTCCACGTGGACACCATCACTCGACCCGGATTCGAACCGGGGTCTCCTGCATGAGTGTTTGCGCTTTCAAAAGCATATGAAGCAGGTGCACACTATGTGCTATCGATTTTCTGCCATGTAGGTCCTAAGGTTGTTTATGCGCGGGATTTCCGAGCGAGTTCTGAGCCCAGAAGAAAGAAGACATTGTGGAAAGGAAACTAACTCAACTCAAGTAAAATAAAATAACTAATCCCTGAACCTGTGTTCCCCTCTCAAACTTCAGTCCAACCTCATCCGTTGTGAAAGATCTGAGTGAAGAGTGAGGAAAATGCATGAAAAAGATGAGACCATAAAGAATTACTTATCACCCAACCCCGGAATTGAACCGGGACCTCCTGCGTATAAGCTCGACCAATACTGCACATCAAGCAGGTGCACACCATGTGCTATTGAGTGTCTACAAGCTAACTTTTAAAAGTTGTTTATGT